TGCAGTACTGCACTCTAACCACTGCACCACCTCGGCTCTATGAGGGTGAGAAGATGGTTGGGGAAAAGCTTGGCCATCTCCATCATCCTTTCTTATTCTGCTGTGCAAATTATCATCTGTGCCGTGTGGCTTGGAGTTCCTCCCCCTTTCCCTGACTTGCAGTCCCAGCCTGGAGAAATTGTCCTTCAATGAAATGAAGACTCTGTCACATTACATGGGCTTCCTAGCTGCCATTTGTTTCATGGTGGCTTTCCTGGCCAGGAACCTGCCTGGAGCCTTCAATGAAGTCAAGTTGATCACCTTCAGCATGCTGGTCTTCTGTAGTGTCTGGATCTCCTTCCTGCCCATCTACCTGAGTGCCAAAGGGAAGTCCATGATGGCTGTGCAGGTCTTCTCCATCTTGTCCTCTACTGCTGGGTTGCTGTTCTGCATCTTCTTCCCCAACTGCTACATGATCCTTCTAAGGCCAGATCTAAATACTAAGGAACATTTAATGGTAAAATTTGGGAAATGAGAATAAAATGATTTCTTCGTTTCATAACCTTTAATGATTGATTGCAATTATTATTCTAACTTCTATGTTTACTTGATTTAGTTGCATGTGTTTGATAATTTAGATTATTTAAACCTGAAGAAAAAACAATATGAAGAGCATTAAATTAATCAAATTGAAATCCAAGATGATTCTCAAATAATACATTAAATAAAGAAATAGTTCATATTTGTGGTTTTTTTTAAAAAAAAAACTGTTGGTAGTCCTCATTTTCCTCAACACACAGGTTAGCCAATATTTGGCTGAAACAACCCTTCAATAGATGACACATATGAGCCGTGTCCTGGGCTTTGGGGTACTGTAACCTTGGCAGATATCTTGTAAGTCGGTTAGGAAGGTCTTTCATGGTCCTTTGGCAATCAGTGTATTCTTTTCGTTTTAATTTTTTAAATTCTTTATTGTTAAAAACAAAAGTTGGACTACAAAACTAAAGTATAACATGAATATCTTATATATTCAGCCTATATTACTAAATATATACACATACTTAATAAACACATTTACGTAATATATTACACATATTACATCTTTTTTCAATCTACACATCCTTGTGTTTTTTTTCCCCACTCCGACTTCCATTCCTCAAATCCAACCTTGGTAAAATCTATTCCAAACCTCTTAGCATTCTGTCTCTTTTTCGTTTTTTAGTTCCCTCATCAGTCTATCACATTCTGCAGTCTAATATTTTCTTTATTATTTCCCTTTCTAGAGGTATGTTCTCACTCTTCCATTGTTGGGAATAAACTATTCTAGCTGCCATTATGATATGTCATATGTAAAGCCTTTACTTTGACCTTCTTTTGTTACTCCTAATAAGAATTGTTCCGGTTTAAGTTCCAATCTCGGTAGTCAGTGTTTTCATTCCCCTGAGCTTTGGTTAGTATTTGGAGATAAATGAGAATGAGAATGATGTGGTGTTGCAACATAACCAGCTCTAAGGAGCCATGGTGGCGCAGTGGTTAGAGTGCAGTACTGCAGGCTACTTCTNACTTCCCAGAGCCCGTACACTTTTAATTATATTTTAATGTTAGTATTTTTAATATAGTGTAAAGACAAATGTATATTGCTGGTCTTTGACCGTAATAAAGATCTTACTTACGTACATGGTATAGATTTTTAACAAACACAGTCTAAAATATATTGAGAGAAAATATTAACTCTTGTATAGATGCAAAGCTATTATTGTTTATTATACATTATGTAGAAATATATTTGATTGTGGTAGAAAATGATAGATAACCAGTGTGTCTACTCTGCTTACTGAACTGGTGAAGTTTATGGGCAATTTAAAGACCTCTACAGTATTTATTCTTTTTTTACAATTTTTGGTATCCGATGCGGGCTAGATAGACTTCAAATCAGGAGTACATAGGGCTGCCACATGCATACTGCAAAAATATGTATGGTCATTAAACAGCAGTAAGCAACGAAAGAAAATCTCTAACTTGTCACCTAGTGTGGTATAATTTCGTAGTCCAGGTTTGGTAGCTCAAGCTATTAGCAATTTTTCTGGGACAAGAACTATATTCTCGGCCTTCAAATGTCATTCTCCAAATATAGCTAAGGGCTAATAAGACAAGTCACATACAGGGGCCAGGAAATAAAATAGATTTCATTTAATTAAAATTAAGCACAGGTGAAATTATTAATATCGTGTGTGTCAATAAATTTTGCCTTCTGTAGCAAAATTGCAGTTTGACGATGGCAAATATTGAGCTGACGTTCAAATTAGGAGAAGGATTGGTTTCAGCCTGGCACCCTTTAACTTTTTAACTCAATAGGATTTCAAATGATAGTGGGAAATACTTTTGAATCTGTAGGCCAGCTGGTATTTGCTTTAGTAGAGCTGGAAACCCCTAGTCATACAGCCAAAACAACAGACTCCAGGCTTGCTTTGGGAATATATATATATAGGTGTTCAAACTTGACAGCTTTAAGACTTGTGGACTTCAACTCCCAGAATTCCTCCTCTCGCTCTTCATCTTAATGATGTACGGATGGGCAGGGGGAGGGAGCTGGAGCCGGTTCTAAATGGCACTGTAGATTTGTGGAACCTCTTCTATAGA